TCAAGCTCTTTAACTGTACAATTGTTTTCCACCTATTTTTCCTTTAACTTCCCCCAACGTGGCTTTTATTCCTCCTGAAATTGCACAATAGTAGGTCTCAAACAGTATTTTTATCGTTTAATCTAATGGCCTTTTTCTGTTTGTATTTTCTTCATTGTGGCAGCAACTGCTGCTGAAAAAGCATTCTTTTTTCCTGATACTTCACTTAGTATGCCTTTATTGCTTTCACTGTTAATTTTTCTTAACTGTTAATAACTGTATACATTCTGCAAGATTTAGTATTGACCCTGACCTTAAGTATGCTTTTTAAACTTAAAAATTAATTATGTTTAATGGATTCAGCTATAAATTCTGTTCTATAAATATTTACTTGCTAAATACTCTCTGAGATGCTATGAACACAAAACACATTGCCCACCTTAAACCACATTCAGTTCAGAGGGAGGTGAAATACAAGCTGGTAGTTATCATGCACAGACAATGTAATAGTGCTGTAAGTATCAGATTTTCTTTAGGAGCATAGAGAGGACATGTCAGACAATTTGGAGGACAGTTTGGGATCAGGAAATATACCCTAAAAGGATGACACTTGAGTTTTAAAGAAGGAATTTAAGCCAGGCTGATGTCATTTGAGGAATATTCTAGGCAAAAGTTACAGCATAAAACATAGTTAATAAGTAAGAAACAACATAAGATAAAGCCTAAGTGTATTTATATTTGGAATGCTTAAAATACGAAGCAAGGATTGATTAGGAGGTATAGCCAGAGGGGCTCAGAACCAAAAATATACCATGTTGAAGGGCTTGCCCTTAACCCCAAAGGCAACCCGGAGCTTTTGACACATATTTTAGTGGGGAAGGGATAGGGTCAGATATTTATTTCATATGATATATTAATCCAATAGTTCTGTAAAGAATGATTGTGTTAGTTATCTGTTGATATATGACATATTACACAAAGACCTAGTAGTTGAAATACTGCACATTATTATTTTATAGTTTCTATAGTCCAGAAATATGGGCATGGCTTCTTGAGCTTTCTGGCTCATGGAATGTAGCAGTCAGGATCCCAGACTTCAGTCATTGTTTCCAAGACTTACTTGGGAGTAGAATCCCCTTCTAATCTCACTCTAGTGGTTGCTGGTTCCTTTTAACTATGGGACTGAGGGTCTAGTTTCCTTTTAAAGGTACCCCTTGGTTGTTGCACAGGACTCTCTATAGGACAACTCGGAACATGGCAGCAATGAGGGAGCAAACGAGAGCAAGAGAGAGTAAAAAGATGTAAGGTAGGGTCTTTTAAGCTATTCTTGCAAGTGATCACTTTTACTATACTCATTTCATTAGCAGTGAGTCACTAAGTCCTGTCTCCCTATGCAGATGCACACTCAAGGGGAGATTACACAAGATTACATGAATACTAAGGGCAAAAGTCATTGGGAGCCATCTTTGAAGCTGCCTATCAAGTAGATATGAGGAAATAAGATTAGAGGGCAAGGAACCACTTAGGGGGCTGTTATAATAATCCAAGTGAAAGATAATGGGGATTGTTGTAGACATGCATAGTAGAATGAAGGGGAAAGGATGATGTGGGTGGAAAAATACTTAGGATGTGAAATCATGTGAACTTGATTTAAGCTTGAGGGTTAGAAGGGAGAAGAGGGGCCGGTGCTGTGCCGTAGAGGGTAAAGCTGCCGCCTGCAGTGTCGGCATCCCATATGGGTGCTGGTTCTAGTCCTGGCGGCTTCACTTCCCATCCAGCTCTCTGCTATGGGCTGAGAAAGCAGTAGAAGATGGCCCAAGTCCTTGGGCCCCTGCACCCCTGTGGGAAGACCCAGAGGAAGCTCCTGGCTCTTGGCTTTTGATTGGCAAGCTCTGGCCATTGCAGCCAATTGGGGAATGAATCATCTGATGGAAGACCTCTCTCTCTCTCTCTCTCTCTCTCCCCCCCCCTCTCCTTCTCTCTCTATGTAACTCTGACTTTCAAGCAAATAAATAAATCTTAAAAAAAAAAAAAAAAGAAACAGAAGGGAGAAGAAGAAATTAAGAATGACATCTGATTAATTATTCTTGGTTCTTAAATCATTGATTAAAGAAGTTTTTACTTGAATATGATTGAAACTCCTGTTCACATTGAGCTTTTTATCATTATTACTGCCATCCCCTGCATGCTTTCACTAATCTAGTTTTGTCCTTAACATCAGTGTCCCTGTCTTTTTGATTTATAAACCAGTAACCAGTTATTTCTGTTTGTTTGCTTTTCCTATTTGTCTCTGTTTCTATTGTTGTCCTGCTTATCCAAATACTTATCACTGTACACTTAAAGGAAATCAGGAACAGTTTCCTAATTTCTTTCCTGTGTCCTTTTCTTTAATCCAGATTCATAGCACCTAATATCTGTATATATATATCCTTTATTCACTCAGCAATTATCATGGGCCTCCTTGGGAATATAATATTGAGCAAGATAAGCATGTCTCTTTTCCTGTAAGTCTTCATTTGATTCATTTCATTCCTTTCCATCTGTCACAAATACCACTAGGGTACACTTCAGCTTCTTTTTCTATGAGACCTTCCTTGAAAGGCATATGTTCCTTTATCTCTGCCTCCTGTGTCCATTATCAGGAAAAGTTTTACTTTGGGAATTTTGAGATTCCGTAAGCTTAAACAGTGAGAACTGGCTATATCTGACCTCTCAGTCTACTGCAAGAACAGTCACCACTCTGACTTATTGGGATTACCTGGAAAGCATTTTAATCTTTATTTTTTCCCTAATATTTAAATTTTTAATTGACACATTAAAAAGGGTTCATATTTATGGGGTGCCATGTGATATTTTGGTATATGTTTATATATATTGTAAAAGGTACATCATACCAACATTTATCATTTCTTTATGGTGAAAACCTTGAGAGTCTTCTAGCTTCTTTTTCAAGAAAAATATATAGCCTGTTATCATTATAATTATCTGTTGTTACACTACTGCGCAGTACAACTTAACAGATCTTACTCCTATTTAACTGTAACTTAGTATCTCTTAAATAAGCTTTCCACATCCTTCCTTCCGTGCTATTGTCTGCAGCCTCTGGTAATCACCATTCTGATCTCACCTGCTATGAGATCAACATTTTTAGATTCCACATGAGTGAGATCAGATCATACAATACTTGCCTTTCTGTGCTTGGCTTTTTTTATTTTGCGTGACCTCAAGTTCCATCCATGCTGTTGCGTATGAAATATTTGATTCTTTTTTTATTTTTTAAAAATTTATTTATTTATCCAAGAGACAGAGTTACAGAAGAGGGAGAGACAGAGAGAGAGATCTTTCATTCGCTGGTTCATTCAACAATTGGCTGCAAGTGCCGCAGCTGGATGATCCGAAGCCAGGAGCCAGGAGATTTTTCTGGGACATCCAAGTGGGTGCAGGGGTCCAAGCCATCTTCTACTGCCTTCCCAGGCCATTGGCAAAGAGAGCTGGATTGGAAGAGGAACAGCCGAGACACAAACCATCGTCCTATATGGGATGCCGGCACTGCAGGCAGATGCTTAACCTACTATGCCACAGCACTGGCCACAAGATTTGATCCTTTATAATGGCTGAATAGTGTTTTTTTGTTTTGTTTTGACAGTGGATAGTGAGAGAGAGACTGAGAGAAAGGTCTTCCTTTTTGCCGTTGGTTCACCCTCCAATGGCCACCGCGACCGGCGCAGTGCGCTGATCTGAAGCCAGGAGCCAGGTGCTTTTCCTGGTCTCCCGTGCAGGTGCAGGGCCCAAGGACTTGGGCCATCCTCCACTGCACTCCCGGACCATAGCAGAGAGCTGGCCTGGAAGAGGGGCAACTGGGACAGAATCCGGCGCCCCGACTGGGACTAGAACCCCGGGGTGCCGGCGCCACAGGCAGAGGATTAGCCTGTTGAACTGCGGCGCTGGCCTGAATAGTATTTCATTATGTTTCTGTACCACATTTTCTTTATCCATTCTTCAGTTAATAAACACATAAGTTGTATCTGTTTCTTGGCCATTGTGAATAGTGCTGCCATAAATATGCAAGTGCAGATCTCTCTCAGAAAGTCATTACATTGGAGTCACTCTCATTAGACCATTAATTGTTTTATATACATTTAATCATCCAAGTATCTTAAAGCAGTAGTTGCAAAAACTGGTTGAGGACTAGCTATATCACAGATGCAGACTTTGGGGTTGCATCCTTAGGGACACTGAGTTTACTACCTCTGTGGTTGTAGCCAGGTATGTATCTGTGTGAGAGTATGAGTGTGAATGTGTGTGTGTGTATTGTATTTATTCATTTGAGAGGTACATACACACGCACACAGCCCCCATCTGCCGACTCACTCCCTGAATGCCCACAAGGGTGGAGATTTTGGCCAAGCCAAAGCTGGGAGCCAGAAATTAGGTCCAGGTCTCTGAGATGGGTAGCAAGGACCCTAATGCCTCTTGGGCTGTGCATCAGCAGGAAGCTGGGCTCGAGCAGAGGAGGGAGCAAAGCTGAGGCAGTATAACTTCGGATATGGGTATCCTAACTACTTGGCTGAATTCCCACCCCTATGTTTTTTAAATGGTGAAATATAACTGATAAATAAAAAATTTTGAAAGATATTGAACTGATATACTAGTATTTTTTTTGTTTCCTTTAGCTGTACTAGTAAGATAAATGCATGTAAATATCTAATAATATTTATTTTCTAGTTGACCTGATAGGTTATTTATCTTGGAAGACTCTGACCACATGGAGTAATATTTTGAATAACAGTTAAATACTTGCTGTATTTAGATTTTAATTGATCCAGTATTTTTCAGTTTTATGTTTAGTTTCTTCTACATTGATAGAAGTGATAATGTGAAAAATTTGGAACACTGACCATAGTGGATTCTTTTTCCTTCTATTATTCTGATAAATCTGACATTCTATAATAGGGAAGTATATTTTTACTTTCTTCAAAGATGGAATTGTAATAATAAACAAATTTGTTTTCTTCTTTTAGTGTCATTCCTCTCTTAAAAGAATCTGTTGGAGTATTAATGCAGAGAACTCCTCCTTTGTTGGAAAATACTCTGCCTCAGTGCTATCAGAGGGTGAGTTTCAAAGCTTCCAAACCATTGAATTTTACGTTGTTTCCAAACTGTTTAAGGTTTTCAGTTTTCATAAATATGGGTGCAATCCATGTGTAACTTAGTATTTCATTCAAGATTGAATGTTGACAATAAATGTCATTTATGCAAACCAGAATAAAATCATCTGAAAATATTGAGCTTTATCAAAGAAAATGTGATAGAAATTTTTCTCTTCTAGAAATTGAGCAATTTTTTTTTTTTTTTTTACAGGCAGAGTGGACAGTGAGAGAGAGAGAGAGACAGAGAGAAAGGTCTTCCTTTGCTGTTGGTTCACCCTCCAATGGCCACCGCGGCTGGTGTGCTGCGGCCGGCGCACCGCGCTGATCCGATGGCAGGAGCCTGGTGCTTATCCTGGTCTCCCATTGGGTGCAGGGCCCAAGCACTTGGGCCATCCTCCACTGCACTCCCTGGCCACAGCAGAGAGCTGGCCTGGAAGAGGGGCAACCGGGACAGAATCCGGCACCCCTACCGGGACTAGAACCTGGTGTGCTGGCGCCGCAAGGCGGAGGATTAGCCTATTGAACCGCGGCGCCAGCCTAAATTGGACAATTCTTTTAAAAGACACAAGGTGAAGAGCAGATGATATTTATTCAGTATACACTTTTTAAATATTTATTTGAGAGTCCAAGAGAGAGAGCACTCCCATCTGTTGGTTCACTCCCCCAATGCCCACAAGAGCCAGGGCTGGGCCAAGATTGAAACCAGAAGCTAGGGACTCAATCCACTTCTCCCATATGAATGGCAAGAACCCAATGACTTGAGCCATCACCACCGCCTCGCAGTGTCTACATTAGTAGGATGCCAGAGTCAGGAGCCAAAGCGGGTATCAAACTTAGACACTTGTCAGTGTCACTGACAGGAACATCCCAATCAGTCATCTTAAACTCTAGGTTAATTGAAACCTCCAAAATATGGTTTTTGATTTGCTACTTTGTACCACATATTGTACCACATATTCTTCTAAGACACTAGGGACATAGTGGTAAACAAGTTCTCACTGAGCTTACAATTTAGTGGGAAAACACAGACACTAAACATTAAATTGATAAGCAAGAACACATTAGTGATAGTTACCATTATAGAAATAAAATAGTGTGATGCAGTAGCCTTGTAGATGGCTACATTAGATTCACTGAAGGAGTCATAGTCAAGGAAATTAAAACCTTGATGACAGGAAGCATTTAGCCATATAAAAATCCTGGAGAAGAATGTTCCAGACAATAGAAAATGCTAATACAAAATGCTATGGCTGGAGCTAATTTAATGGGTTTGAAGAACAGGAAAAAAGGCCATTATGGCTAAAATGTAATGATAAATAAAAGGAGGAGTGACTTAAAATGTTGGGGAGAATGACAGTAACCAGATCCTGTAGGGGTATACCTTATAAGAAGCTGAGATTTAACTCTACTTCAGTGGGAAACATTGAGAATTTTAGGGTACTGAAAGTATCATAAATCTTATATTTTTAAAAGATTATCCTGCTTGTTATATAGAGAACAAATTCTAGGGAAAATAAATACTGAGAAAGCTAGTCATGAGGCTTTTATCATTTAAATTAAAAAAAGTGGCTTAGACTATCATTGTGTGAAGGAGATAAAAGTACATTTTGGGGGAGCCAGTGCTGTGGCTTAGATAAATCCATCTTCTGCAGTTTCGGCAACCCGTATAGGCTCTGGTTCGAGTCCCAGCTGCTCCATTTCCAATCCAGATCTCTGCTATGGGCTGGGAAAGCAGTGGAAAATGGCCCAAGTGCCTAGGCCCCTGCACGCATGTGGGAGACCTGGAAGTAGCTCCTGGTTCCTGGCTTTGGATCGGCACAGCTCCAGCTGTTGCAGCCATTTGGGGGAGTGAACCAGTGGATGGAAAACTTCTCTCTCTGCCTCTGCCTCTCTGTAACTCTGCCATTCAAATAAATTAATAAATAAGTCTTTTTTAAAAAGTACATTTGGGATGGTTGTGGAGGTGAATTATATTAACAGAGAAAAAGATGTATTGACTCACAACTTGGTAGATACTAGGTAGATTGAGGCTGGGGTGGTAGAGGTTTGAGGATGGAAAATGGCACCCCCAATTGAATTTTATTTTGATATGTTAAAATTTAAATGCCTATTGTATTTCTAGGGGACATGTTTGTTAAATAGCTGGATATGAAGATCTGGAAATTAAAGGACATAGGAGTAACATCTAAAACATTAAGACTGGCCAGCGCCGCGGCTCAATAGGCTAATCCTCCACTTAGCGGCGCCGGCACACCGGGTTCTATTCCCAGTCGGGGCGCCGGATTCTGTCCCGGTTGCCCCTCTTCCAGGCCAGCTCTCTGCTGTGGCCAGGGAGTGCAGTGGAGGATGGCCCAAGTGCTTGGGCCCTGCACCCCATGGGAGACCAGGAGAAGCACCTGGCTCCTGGCTTCGGATCAGCGCGGTGCGCCGGCCGCAGCACACCAGCCGCGGCGGCCATTGGAGGGTGAACCAACGGCAAAAGGAAGACCTTTCTCTCTGTCTCTCTCTCTCACTATCCACTCTGCCTGTAAAAAAAAAATAAAATAAAACATTAAGACTGTAAGAGGAGAGATTATAGTTTTATTCTCTTAGCTCTAGACTTGGATCATGGTTGGGAAAATCAAGAAGGGGAGTGATTAGTAAGGGAGCTGGAAACTAAAAGATGGTAGTGTTACAGAATTGAAGTAGAAATTGATCAACTGTGCTGAATAATTCTGTGTAGGTCAAGTAAGGTAAGAGCAAACAAATGATTGTTGACTGGCATCATGAACATCATTACTGTCCTTAATAAGAGCTGTTTCAGTGGCAAATGGCGGGAAGATCATGATTTGAGTAGATAAAGGAGAAAATAAATTGGGGAAGTAGAGATAGTGGCTACTAATAACTCCTTTCAATAATATTATTGTTAAAGGTAGCAGAAAAATGAGTTGATAGCTTGGATTTGGATGAAATTTTGAGAGTATTTGCTTTTAAAATAGGATATTTTAGAACAGTTTTATCACATTGAACATTCCCAAGATAATGCATGTAAATATACTAAAATCTGCACTATTGAATAGGCAAACCCTGGATTTTTTTTAAACTTGCTTTAGTTTTCACCCCCCCCTTTTTTTTAAGTTATCCTTATATTTGAAAGGTAGAATGACAGAGAGGGAAAGATAGAGAAAAAGAGAAAGATTTTTCTACCCACTGGTTCACTCCCCAAATCTCTGCAACAGCCAGGGCTTAGCCAGGGCTAAGGCATGCTAAAGCCAGGAGCCAGGAACTTCATTTGGGTCTCCCACATGGAGGCAGGAACCCAAGCGCTTAGGCCACCATCTGCTGTCATCTCAGATGCATTAGCAGAAAGCTGGATTGGAAGTGGAGGAGGGAGGACTCTAACTGGTGGTCCTGTATGGGAAGCAGGCATCCCAAATGTTGCTTAACCCACTGCACCACAAAGCCTGCCCTAGTTTTCATTCGTTTAAATAAATACATGTATCCAGTGATTTTTGTATTGCACAGCACAGTTCAACAGCATGTGATTACTGATAGGAACAATCCAACATAGAGAAAGAATTTGTTGATATAGTAGTAAAAGAGATTATTAAGGAATGAAGTTCTTGAGAAGGTGAAAGAAGAATAAAGCCCAAAGCAAAATGGATGGATTAATTGTAGATAGGAGCAGGGATACTATATCCCTTGAGGGAAGACACAAAGTGCTGACATATCTAACAGTTAACTGGTAGATTTGGTGAAACAGTAAGGGATTTTCTATGTATTTCTGTTTTCTCTCAATTCATAAGGCTGTGTAATCATGCAGAGAGATTAGAAGGCTAGTGGGAAAAAAGAAAAAATATAGAAAGGTCTTTTGAGTTATTGAAAGCAAAGTGTTGCCCATTCAAGCTTCGTGGTTATGATTTTAAGGTAGAACCAGTTACTGTAATGGTGCAGGAGAAAGGGACAGTTTATTAAATACATGTCTCTATTTCTCTCTCTCTCTCTATCTATCTATATATGTATATATATGTATCTATGTATGTATGTATGTTATTTTTTTTTTCACAATAAACTGCAGGGTGATGGCCTTTATTAAGGAAGCTTCCTTCTAATCATTTTTATCTAGTAACAAATAGATGTTGAGCTTTATTAAATAATTTTAATACCTCTTTTAAAATGATTTGTGATTTTTCTTCTTTATAAATTGAAGAATAACATTAACAGACTTTCTGATGTTAAACCTTTCTTTCCATTTTGAGATAAACTGAACCTCAGACATGATCTGTTCCTTTTTTTTAATGCACTATTGCATGTAATTTTAATTCATAAGATAATTGGTTTGTGATTTCTTAACTTTATTCAATTTGGAGGTCAAAGTTCTTTCTTACCAATATAAAATAGCAGCTCTTTTCTGTTTTCTCCAAAAACTAAGACAGAGGTTGTCTGTTCCTTGACAGTTTGCTCCCTAGGGCTGAGGGTTTTCTGAAAAACAGCTTTTTTTGTCACTTCAATTTTTAGTGGTTCTTTCACTTTCACTTTCACTTTTTTCTTAGAACATTTTCTGAATTTCGTTAAATGTATCTATGTTGTCTAGATTTTCAAAACTGTATTTTTATACATTTAATATATTATTTACTGAGCACTTACTTGGGCCAGACTGTCTCAATTGCCGAAGATACAAAACAAAGTTCCTGACTTTACTGAGCTTAAGTTCTGCAGGAGAGAGTCAAGAAACTGTATATCAGTTATCTAAAACTATATATGTTTTAAGCCAAAAAATAAAACTAAGCAGGCAATGCAGAAATGAAAGCATTGTAATTTCAGATAGGGTAGCAAGAGAAGGGCTTACTAAGATGACTTCAGTAAAGACCCAAACAAAGTGGATCCTGTAGAAATCTGAGGAGGAACAATACTCCAGGCTGAGGACAATAGCCAAGAATTCTGAGAGAACAGTGTGCTTTGCTTTTGAAAGAATGCCAAGGAGGTGAGGAAGCTGATGAAAAGGGATATAAAAGGAGGAGGAAGCATAAGAAATGCAGGTCCCTGTAAGTTATTGTCAAAGAAATTGGTAGAGTCCATATTTACTGATAAATTGTATAATAATTTCAGTGTTGAGGGGCACTTAACTAGAGCATGATGTTAATATCTGCCATTTGTTTTTCAGGTGCAGCAGTTACAAGGCGTTTACAGTTTACAAGAACAGCACTTCTGGACTTTATGTTCTGATGTCTATGTTGGGACCTTGAAATTAGTAGTAGCACCTGATGCTGATGCCAGGTGGATTTTAAGCCAAACACATAACATTTTCACTCAGGTATGGCTTTATTGCTAACTTTTTTTAAGTGTCTTAAATTTCATTATATCTACTAGTTTTCAAAGTGTCTGCTATTTAGAATATTAAGTACATGTGCTACTGAACTATGAAGTAAGCATAAAACTACTTTTTTTAACACAGAATAAAATTTGAGAGATTTTCATTTTAATTCATATTCTTAAGGAAGATATTTCCAATTTGCTCCTTGTTGTGCTGATTTGATTTCCTTCAAGAAAGAGTGGATTCCCTTTTATTGCTCATTCCCATAAGACATGTTAGATGCTGTTTGAAACCAAGAATTTTTTTTAAAGATTTATTTATTTATTTGAAAGGCAGAGATAACAGAGAGAGAAGATGAGAGAGAGAGAAAGATCTTTCATCTGTTGGTTCATTCCCCAAATGGCCACAGTGGCCAGGACTGAGCCAGGCTGAAGCCAGGAGTCAGGAGCTTCTTCCTGGTCTCCCACACGGGTTTAGCGGCCTAAGCTCTTGGGCCATCCTCCACTGCTTTCCCAGGCACATTAGCAGGGAGCTGGATGGAAAATAGAGCAGCCAAGATTCAAACTGGCTCCCATATGGGATGCTGGCACTACAAGCAGAGACTTGGCCTTCTTTGCCATAGTACCAGCCCTTGAAACCAAGAATTCTAAAATAGCATTTGAAATAAGAATACTACTTTGTTGGGACATTAGCTAAAAGCAGACTATTAAGTTTTTTGTTATCAAAGTCATAGTTATTATCTGTGAATGTTAATAATTTAATATGCTGTTGAGTTTTTCTTGATATAGGTTGAATATCTTTTAAGTGAAAGGATATTTAGGACCAGAACTTAAGAATTTTTTAAAATTCTGGCAAATTTCCGTAGACTTTACAACTTGAGCATTTGTAATCTGAAAAATCCAAATTCTAAAGTGTTACGAATTTTGGATTTTCAGGTTAGGACTACTCAACCTGAGTTTATTTAGAATCATCAATTAGTCAGTGTAGGGTCTGCAACCAGATTTTATAACAGTTAACTGCTTGTGTGGCTCTGAGTTAATGGGTTGTATGACTGATAATCAAGGTGATTGTTATGGTATTATGTATATATTGGAAAAACAAAATCATGTCAATAGCATCTAAAGAAAATACACAAATTCTTTTATTGGTCTAGTTTTCCAGAAACATTTGGTAAAGAAAAACCTAGACATTGATACTGCTGCCAGAATTATCTAACACATAGATCTAATGGAGAATCTGTTTCTATGCTTTAAAAACCTGTGATTGAAAACTGACATTCTGAGATGCCATAGGAAGTTTAGGATGTAATTTGTGTGTTGTTCCTAGCAAATATGTTTAGCTTGAACCTAATCATGAGCAAACAACCTGACAACTTCTATAAGACTGTTAGCCTAGATTCTTAAAATATGTCTATGTCATGTAAGGAAAAAATAGGTGGAGGATAATTCTAAATGTAAGGAAACTTGATAATTAAATGTAATATATGATCCTTGTTTGGATCTTGAATTGGGAGAAAAAAAGCCACAAAATTAATGAGTAATTAAAAAAATTTGGATATAATTATGTAAGTGTTAATTTCTTAGATGCGATATGGCATTGTGATTATAGAAGAATGTTCTTATTCTTATGAATTAATATCCCAAGGGATTTAATGCTAAAGAATAAGAATGTCTAACTAATTTTCAAATATTTTGGCAAAAAGAAAAATTACAGATAAATATGTGGAGGAATAAAGCAAATGTGGCAAAATGTTAATGATAATTGAATATAGGTGATGAGTACATTGGTATTGTATTATCCTTTGGCTTTAAATATTTTAAAAATAAAAAGTTGAAAAATTAAAACTTGATGTGGTCACCAAGATAAAGTCCAAACTTTCTGACATGACCCAGTTAATTTCTCAAGTCTTTCGTTGCCATGTCCTTTATACTCCAAACCCATCAAACATTGCACTTTTCTACGTAGGACAAAAATCCTACTCTAATTTAAAGGTCCAGTTCCATGGTTGTTTTCTCTGTAGAACCTTTAACATTTTTCTGGGCAGAATTACTTTGTCCTATGATACCTATCACATTGTGCATGTTTGCCTGCCCCCCACCCCCATCACTCTCTCTCCCTTCTTTCCTCCCCTCTGCTGTCTCTTGAAAGGTCACCACGAAACACACCAAACACCAAGGTAAAGGAGAAGGTTTATTGTTGAGTGGGGGAAACCTAAGTTGGAGAACATGAGGTATAAAGAGAAGGTTTAGAATGGAGATAGGAGATGGCTTAGATAGAAGGAGTTTCCTTCCACTTTCCTGAATGTTCACAGAAGTGGTAAAGATCTTGAATAATGTCGGGGTCAAACATGCTGTTAAGCGGCCATTTGGATTGGTTGTCAAGATCATACATGGGCCATGCCTGATTACAAAGAAAGATGAGGCAATGCGTGCTTGAGATCTGGGACCAATTTGAGAGGAACTAAATTATTTAGAAGACAACCAAGAGGAGAATCGGATGGAACACAGGATGTGAAAGTTCCCATAGTGACCAGTGGGATCAGACTGGCGGATAGCCGGCATCCCCAGTATCATGGCAGCAGTCTGATGAGGAAAGTAAGGGGCAGAGCAGAAGGTCAGGTCATCACCTGCACCCACTGTTACCCAAGGCCCAAAGCCTGTAAAAGACACAAAGCCTGTGGAAAGGCATAATGCCCCTGGGAGGCATAAAGCCTATAGGAGGTTGTGGTGCCTGGTATCAGGACTTTGAGACGAAGTAGAGTGGAACCACAACCCGTGGTAAAGGTCACTTTGAGAGAATTCCCTGTTCCCTGCTTTTATATCAGAATTTTGGAGGGCCACTGTGTGGATGGAGATCGCAGAACATTTGGTGGCGAAGAAGGAGGTCCAGGGGTGAGTTTTGTGGTTGTAGAAGTCCAGGATCCTGAAGCAGCTCACATCCCTGAGAGGAGAGCAATTTTGACAGGAGATCCTGGTCTGAAAAGGCATCTGAAAGGCCACCACAAAACACACCAAGCACTGGAGTAAGGGAGAAGGTTTATTATCGGATAGGGGAAACCCGACCTGCTGCCTCCCCATGCACAAGAGAATAGCAGCCTATACTAGAATAGGTCTTAACATAGCTTTTCAAAGGTGAAGAAGTGGGAGCAGTGAATCATGTTAGGGTGGGGGTGGAGCTGGCCCCTGTGTTTGGGCCATTTGGACACCTGACTTCTAGTAAGCTAGGCTGGGCTTAGGATCAAAGCTTATTGTACAAGATGGTGATGGGCCAGAACCTATGATAGCATATGGGGCTTGAGATGGCACCCCAGATAATACGGCACCATTTTACTAACACTTCTTTCTCTCTCTCTCTCCCTTCCTCCCTTCCTCCTACCTCCCTTCCCTCCCTCCTCCCTCCCTCCCCTCCCTTTCTTTTTTTTGTTTGAAAATTTTTTGAACTTTTTTAAGGTTTCATCTTTTTAATAAGAAAAGAGGATGATGATATAATTTCAAATTGTGATAAGATGTGCTGATACTGCAGTTTTCAATTGGGTTACATCCTAACATGCTTCATAAAGATTCTAGGCCGCTGCAGTTTAAGGGGTATGGGTGATTTCCTTTATTAAGAGTTTAATGGGACATGTTCATGCTGTCCAGCTTCATTGCTGTTTCTGCATATCTGACAGACCTCCTTAGTGCAGAACCTGAAACCTGGCCCAGGGTGGAGAAGCTGTGATGTGCCTATACAGACAGGCCGGAGGGGAGATACCTGGGTACACGTGCATACACATGGGCTCCCAGTCCAAGGCCTCTGGTGGGAGAGGGCCCTGAGGAGGGCAAGAGAGGCCCAGGATTTACAGCTCCAGACCGGTAGGGCCAGTGGTAGTCACAGCAGCTGTGGAGGGAAGGAGGTTCCAGCCACAAGAGGCAGAGCACAGAAGGGCAACGTCATCAAGCGTGGGAGAGCTTGGGACCCCAGCAGGTTTGGGAGGATTCAGTTACTCAGAGCCCCTGTCCCCTGCGCAGGAATTCCCCGAAACCTCCTTGGGTGTCTTCTTGAGCCCTTCCCACCACTGCCACGGACACAACTGGTCCTGAAGGGAGGTGCCCTTCCCACTCCAAGAGCAGGATGGGGCCAGCCCACTGGGAAGAGAAGGTGGTGAGCAAGCCTCAGGCCCCATACACATTAGAGGGACCAGTGGTCCCAGGCCCAAGTGGACATAGAGAGCCCTCTGGGCAGCTGCCGGCTCCCAGGTCCAGATCCAGGCCCAGGTGTAGCCCTCTGTGGTCCTGCTTAGTGATCCGGTTGTGAGTGGACATAGCCAGGCAGATGAGGCCAAGGAAGAGCTTGGTAGGCGGCCAGCAGGGGTCCTGAGACTAGGGAGCACTGAGGTTATAAAGTCCTAGACACATAGACATGGCCATGTGGAGATTTCTACCTGGGGGTGGGATGTGACTTTCTTGGGGAGCCTCCAACTGGAGCAGCTTCTGGGTGGCACAGGAGGGACCCCTAGGTGCCAATGCAGGCTCTGCTCCCAGCGTCCTCCACAATGGGGGCCATGGCACAAACTCCAGGCCCTGGTGCTCCCAACAGTGAGTGTGGACACCACAGGGCTCAGTATCCCTCCTTTCCTAGCGACAGTTCTGTGAACTGGTTCCCTAACTCATGTGAGGATCCTGTGGCACAGAACGGGGTCAGCCCTGCACCTTCTCACCTTTAGACCCTCAACCCCCTTGCTCCCGCCCCAGCCAGCAGCAGCCCTGCTGCCCTCACCTCCATCTGGGGATATCCCTCTTCTCTGTGGGCCTAAGCCCCCTCCACAAGTGATGTGGCTGCAGAGGGGCCGCAGGACACACGGCTAGGGCCTAGCCAGCCACACTTTGGGACTGAGCTCCACTCCCATGGAGCACACCATGGATCCCCAGAACCCAGGAGGCAGCGGCTGAACAGGGCAGACAGAGCCTGCAGAGGGCAGGGTCTGGAAGGGGGCAGTGGAGTCAGCAGCAGCCCCCAACACA